AATAATTGCAAAATAAATTATTTTATACTTATWASTTAGTTCACTACTGTGATATTACAGAAAATATTCAAATGAGCAATACTCAATAGTATAGATGAAACGGATGAATGATATAGGTTCAACAGTACAATAGGTATAAATGTATATAATTTGTATTTTGTTTTTGTGACAAAACAAAATAGAACATTTTCAAGAACAAATATTAAATAATATTTATATTATTGTATCATTATAATGTATGTATTGTATACACATTTGACAGGGGTGGCCAAACAGTCAATCGCGGACAATTTCAAAGTCGATCATGTWAGAATTTCTTTTTAGGGCCACGCGCTCTATATGTTTCTTAATAATTACAGTTATTCAATAATAAAAAAAAATTTCTATGGAAGTCGATCCTCAAAGGTGAAGTATATTTTTAGTAGATCGTGACCAAAAAAAGTTTGGCCATCCCTGACATATAATATAAAAGTTAATTAGTTATATAAAATAATTTTTGACAATAGGTCTATATTATTAAAAGTAAAATTACACATTAYAAAAAAATTCTTAATATAAAATAATAAATAAAAAATATCTTATTGATTTTTAAAGTGAATCGTTTTAGTTAAAAAAGATCTAATACGATCATCTGGTTGGCTTTCATTCATACAATAATGATGTATACGTATTCTAAAATAACTTTGAAAAATAATATGGACTATTTGTAAAARGTGGTTATTTAATGGTTCTTGATTTAATATGTGTTCAGCTATARATAAAAAAATTGCATTTATGTTTATTTGSGAAGTTGCTTTTATAATAAGAAAATTAATTATGTTACTGCTTGTTGATAGTYTACTTTGGTACATTTTAAAAACTCGTTCTGCTACATGGCACAGGTGGATGACATCTACTGAAGGTTTTCTTAACCCCCCACGGTTTTTGATATTTATTAAAGAACCTACTTCAGAATGGGTCYTAGATAAACTTCTTATGCAGTCATCACAAATTATTTTTTTTTCCAACTKCCGAACAATAAATCCTGCTATATATTCAACAATGTCAGCTACTATTGTTTGTTGTGTAGTTGTACCTTCTATATGAGTGGTTAAATTAAGATCATCATCAGTTACTTCAGCACACAACATATCAACATACACATTTAAATGATCAGATTTTTGTTTGGTTTTACTTGTTACAGATGATATTTTTGTCAAGTCCATTTATATTTACGTTTATAAGCGCTTTCAAATTGTAGAGCTGTTGGGTTATTATTAAAACCYCCTCTGCCCCGAATTGCCGAAAAAAAACATCTCCAAATGATCTTGGCTTAATTTGTAAGTCAATAAAAAAATTAAGATCCTCAGTTTTTATTGTATCATTAAATAGGTTCTCTATACTTTTTAATGTTATAATTAAACCAATAAAACCAGTTTTTCGTGTTGATTTAATTATAGGAATAATATTTTCGTCTTTTCCAGGAGGTATACAGTACAGATTTTGTAAATATTTGATGGATGAATGAATAAAATTGATTATTGCATCTTCATTTGCTTTGCGGAGTGGTCTCTTATATGGTGCTTTACTCAAAAAATTTCTGGTGTTTAAAAAATCGAAAATATTATTTATTTGTTGGCATAGTGTAATTGTTGCTTCACAGTTYTTAAATACATCCAAATTTAAGGTTTCAGAACAGTATGATAGTGCATCTGATACACTCGAACTAAAAGTTTGTGCTGCTAAAAGTACCTTCATTTTTTCTTTGTGATATTTTATGTGTCTTTTTCGTATTTTTGTACCCAAGTGAAGGCCAATTTCTTCTTGAATTTGTACTAATTGTTCAAAGTATTCCCATTTAATASGTACCATGTTTCCATCAAATATTGTTTTCCAATCGCCTAATGTGTTACGACACAACTTAAGCATATGAGCTGGATCAAGTATAATATGCACAATCGTTTCTGATCCTGGGTGCTTAAAAAAAGGTTTRAGATCGGTTAAAGTAAAATCAGCTCCTAACATTTGGCCATTGAAAAATTTGAAACGGTACCATCAAAAGTCAAGGTTTTAACTATCACTTCAGAGTCAGACAAGTGATCAAGACAAGCATTTACTAAATTTGCTTTTTCTGTGGATCCAATACCATTAATAAATAAATAACYTACTGGCATTTTCCAATTTGAGTTTATAGAAACTAACATAAATACAAGAGCTTTCGTGGCTTTTGGTAAACTATCACAAAATTCAGAACCAGTACCATAATTTACATRACCTATCAATCTGTCACCTTYAAACACAACATTTTCTTTGATGTGCATTTCATCCATCATCAATGCACAAATTAGTTTTTTGCCTTTACTTTTCATTTCCTTAACCTTAATTTCTACTGCTTTGAGGGATTCTAATGTGAAACCAGGCTTAGCATCAACAGAAGAATACCATTTTCTTAGAGTGCTTGGATGTGGTAGAGCATCTTTAAAAGTTTGACGTACATAGTTATAGGCAGCTGGCGAATAGAAATTAAGCGTCAAAGCAAAGCTACGCAGTTCAGGAGAGTATGATCCAGTTCCTAGATGAAGTTGCCTTTTAAGGAGTTGAGCTTCTGCATCAGGTATACATTCCTTTTAATAAAAAATAATACAATAATAAAAGTTAAGTTAAGAATTAATTTATTAAATAAGAGAATTTAATCATACATTTTATTTTCATAATATTCATGCTTGTTATTTTTTTATTGTCATAACCTATGTTATTTCTAACTGTAAATAACTAAACAACTAACTAAAAAACACTTAATTATTGTCATACATAGGAAAGATAAGTAAAAAACAAAAATAATAATACAATAATAAAAATATAGTTAAGAATTCATTATGAACCATAAAACACTTAACCATAGCCATACATATATTGTGACGTAATATTCATGCTTATTTCCTTTTTATTTTCATAATCCGTGTTATTTCTAACTGTGAATAACTAAACAACAAACTAAAAAACATTTAATTATTGACATATATAGGAAAATAAAGTAATTTTAATTGGTTATAAACTCACAATTACAATAATTATTCACAATAACACTTAGATAAATTAAATTTTATAAAATTAATACTCACTTTCAGAAATGAAAAACAGTTTTCATTAATTTTGTTATCACATTTAAGGTGATCAATTAATTGACCTAAGTTTAAAATTTTTTTTTCAGGTTAAAGTTTTGCAATCGAAGTTTTCTTATAGTTGATTGATATTTTTTATGAGATGTTTGTGCTGCATGGAATAATTTACGTCGACTATTTGGGCTTTCTAGATCATTTTCACTCTTAAAATCACCTACATAGAATTTACGTTTGTTTACCTTTCGTGGTGTACTATCTATAACAGATGGTCCTGGTAAATTTTCCTTAAATGCTAAAAACAATACATGGATAAATTTCTAAAATACATAATAATAAGGCATTGAAACTCACTTGGTACATCATTGATAACTTTATTTTCTCCAACTTCAATCTCATCAATCACTTTATTTTCTTTAACTTCAATCTCATCAATCACATTACTTTCTTCATCTTCAATTTCGTCAACTTCAATTTCTTCAATCATAGATGCAACTTGAAAATAATATAATAATATTGTAATATCATAGTTACATATGAATTATATTTACACTATGTTAAATATTATAAACACAATTATTATTAAATTATATAAAAGTACTTTACATTTTGTGAAAACACTGGGAATTTTTTCAAAACTTTTTGACTGTTCACTACACTTAAATTATAATCTGTATCTAAAAAATGTAAACTACATATTTTAGTATGAGTAGTAGTTTGAAAGTCAGGTTGAAATGCGCGTATAACATCCAACCACTTATTCATCATGTCAATTGATCGATGTATACTGTTGAGACAAATAAAATATATATTTAATAATGTAGAGTAATGACGATAAAAAAATATTACCCATGCATTTTTATTTTTCCTGAAAACTTTTCTTTACAGGTTTTAATTGCACACTGAAGAACCATTTTAAGTTAAAAATTAAAATATTAAATACGTTTAATATAGTAGGTACCTTATATATTTATTATATTTTAAAAACTCAAATACACAAAATTGAAAAAAAAAATTATGGATATTTTTAATTTTGTGATCTACCTAAAAGGTTTTAAATTGATTACAATGTTTTTAGAATCTGACAAAATAAATCGTCTCCGTTCAGAGTCATTTTTTACTCCATGATATGTAATTTATTCTTTTATGATCGTCTTAAGTTGTATGCTATCTCTTTCTAACAATGTTGTGTTAGCGCTGATAATTTATTACTATTAACTGTGGTCACACTGCCACGGGCCCGCGCCCCCGCGGTCGCAGGCTCGTTGCAACGGCGGTTACAGTCCCGTTTTTGCAACGACCGAAGACACCGCCACCGTTTTGTCTTCGTGTATCCGGCAACCGCGACCCGTCCGATTCTGTTACGTTACACTACCCCTTTTAACTGTTTGTTTTATCTGCCTGTTGTGTTAATGTACTGTTGCGTTATTGTATCATTTATATTAATTGTTAATATAACCGTCGCCATCTCTTACATTATTACTATATACTTGTTGTTCGAGTTTATTAATCTAGTCCTGACCCGTTAAATCCTTAAAAACTATAGCCGCTAACATTTCAGAAGTGGGATTCCTCGAAGGCTCCCACACGCGTGTGTTCCGAGTACGTCGTCATCCGAAATCCCGAAATCGTGATCAGTTAGTCACGAGGTTTTGGGTGCGCTACGTAACAATATTTACCGTGTGCGACTTCGGGAAAACCCGGCCGCATATCGTACGTGGCGTTATCACGTTTTGCCGTCCGCCGTTGAAATCGCGATCGTGCGAGTGCGTTCCGTCACCCGGTTGGTATCAGTAACCGCTACCAGCGTTCCGTTATCAGCGAGATACTCAGTATCGCATCACACGTAGATAACACTGTTGTTTTGAAATCGTTGTTCGACACTTTTTTTTATTTATTAACATGGACAACGGGTCCCGATCAACGAATACCCAGGAAATACATGCGCCAACTTACAACGAGTTATTCAGTCAGGCTGAATCGTTGAGGAAACGATTAGAGGCCTTGGAGAAGAAACTCCCGGACGTCGACTCGAAGCCGGCGGAGGATCCTGTACCGCGCCAATGCAACGATTACCGGCTGTTACCAGACCTGAATAGAACCGTTCCCGTATTCACCGGCCATGAATCGAGCTGTGAAGCGGAAGATTGGATAAACACCGTCGACGCCTTGGCGGGAATAAATAATTGGCCGGTGCCGTATCGACTGCAGTATGCGAAATCGTATATGTCAAATGCGGCTCGCAGCTGGTTTATGACCGAGAGTTTCCGCGATTGGGTGGACTTTATGTCTAAGTTCCGTGCCACATTCGTCAGGAAATTGAGGATGTCCGATAGATGGGAAAGTATGACCGGTCGCCGGCAGGGTGACTCGGAACACGTTGCTGATTATTTTTACGACAAGTTACGGCTCTGTCAAGCCCTCAACCTGTCTTTCTATGAGATTCGCGACCACATTGTCCTCGGTATCCATTCGCATGAGCTCGCGGTGTATGCGATGAGCAGGCACCACACGACAACCGCCGCGCTCCTGGCTGACCTACAAGAAGGTGGGCGATTGTTTGAACTCCGCAGGGCGCAGAGTGCTGCTGTGAAACCGCTCGAGGATAAGAGTTGGAGGTCATTTCCGAAAACACAACCGAAAACTGCTGCACCAGCTCCGGCTGCAGTAGTACACAACTCAAACGTCACCGCCATTAAATCCATGTCGATCGGGGAATCGACTACTGTCCGTTGCTACAATTGTAACGCGAATGGGCATATCGCGCGGGACTGCCCAAAACCGCGAAAACCGTGCTCCGGCTGTCAATCTACTGCTCATACGCGTAGCCGTTGCCCCGGGAAGCCGGCGCAAGCTATGCTGGTCGGGCCGTTACCGACAGTACCACAGAACAGTTTCATCAAGGACTTAATGTTTAATGAGGTCCGGGCAACCTGTCTAATCGACACGGGTTCGTCCCACGTTTTGGTACGTACCAGTCTCGTTCACCGTTCCGCGGTCACCGTACGTTGGACACCGCGCCCGTTGTACACTGTCGGCGATACACATCACCCCGGCGCGGTTACGCTGGGCGAGGCCACGGCCGATATTACTGTGGACGGAGCACTGGGCGCCGACCACCCGGTACTCGTGGTGAGCGATCAATCGATACCCGTAGACGTGATTGTAGGCCGCTCATGGCTGAACCTGCCGCATATGGGGTTCTACAAAACCAATAATCAGTTCATAATCGAGACGGTAAATACGATCAGTCCGACCGCGGCAACGGAGTCGTCCGAAATACGAACCGCGCTGGTCAGCGCTGAACAACCGCCAGTGTTGCCGATATTGTTCTCCGATATAAACATTGACGCCCAGGTATCCGAGACCGAACGACGCGAGTTATTATTGCTAATTAATAAATACCGCGACGTGTTTGCAAAAACTTTAAGCGAACTTGGCTGCACCACTCGCTGAACTGGATATCGTGGGGGTAGACGGCAGTGTCCCGGTCCGACAAGCGCCGTACCGCACCTCACCGTCAGATCGACGGATGATTTCGGATATATTAAACGGATGGAGAGCCGCAGGAATCATCTCAGATTCAACATCGCCGTACGCTAGCCCGGTCTTGCTTGTCGACAAAGGAGGCACCGAGAAACGCTTATGTGTTGACTACCGACGGCTCAACCTCCAGACTCAAGATCAGCCTTACCCGATGCCAGATATTGATGATTTGCTATCACGCCTAGCCGAGGGACGTATTTTTTCCACCTTAGATCTGTCAAATGGGTTCCTGCAGATCCCGCTAAGTGATGATGCCAAACTCAAGACCGCGTTCGTAACAGAAGAAACTACCGCGAAGTTTGAACGTATGCCATTTGGTTTGAAAGGCGCGCCGGGTATGTTCCAGAAGGTCATGAATGTTTCGAGTGTTAACAAATAATAATACTTCATTTTAATGAGCTGAATCACATGAATTAGTTCACTGAAATGAATTGAAAGTACCCATCACTATTAAATACCTCTATTGGTTAGGTAATTGGTAATTATTATTAATAACAAGTATTTAAATGTTCTTGCTAGTATTGTAAGTGGATTAGCGCTATTGGCGACCACCACTATAAAAAAACGCACTCTTTGCAATGGCCCCATACCAGGGCGGTGCCCTTCACGCCAACGTCAACGTAATCTCTTATTATTCTCATTTTTATTTTCTTAAATAAATTAAATTTTTGATCGTAAATCACATACTTACCTGATGATACTTACTTGATACTTACCTGCCTAGAAGCTGCGACTTTATCGGCTTCAAGAGGAGAACCATACTAACGTGAAGTGGTGATAGTACAATTTCCGAGGATTACATCTCATTTATATTTTCTTAAATAAAATACATTTTTTATCGTATATCACATACTTACCTGATGATACTTATTTGATACTTACCTTTACTCAAGTAGCATTCTAGTTATAGTAGTAGTTTTCTAGTTTATGTGATATTAGCAAAGGTACCCAGCGTATTGGCACGAGAGAACAACCAGGGCACCTCTGAAGCACATATACATTTTGAAACGAACTTCGGCCACAGATTTCGTCTATTTTGTACTTACCATCGTATGTAGCTAGATGCTGTGATAATTTTGATATATTTTCTGCTCTCTACAAACCATTATGTATTATATATATGTATGTATGTATACGGTAGTTCACAATAGTACTGTAAAATATTAAATTAACTATATTTGTTAAGTTTTTGAAAATTCAAATAAATTTTTTAACATTTTAGAGACGGTAATGAATCGATTTATGTTTTTGGTTGTTTTTGATTATCTGTAGTATTTCTTCTGTTGTATATGATGAGTTCTGTTTTTTTTCCGCTAAAACCTGCAGCAGATTTTTTAATATGTTCTTATAATTTTTTATTTCGGTGATGTAATTTTCTTCAATATTGTTGGTTGTGATTTGGTTGAAATTTGTGTTAAGTATGTTGTCTATGAATTGGTTTATGAAAATATTTTTTTTTTGGAAGCGGTTGAATATATTATTTTTGTTGAATTGATTTTGTTTATTTATTTTTTGTTTTTAGGGTTGAAAATGGATGGCAGCTGAAACAAATACACAATGAAGAAGATAATTTGAAGTTATGAATTATTGCTGGTATAAGAATAAAAGAAATAAAGTTACATTATAAAATACGGCTGTTATATAGTAAGTCTCTCGGCTGATAGTCATTATTTGGTTGATATATATATCGGTGTTTATATTTTTATGAATTTCATCTATAATGTGTTCAGTATTCAAATTATAAATTTTACATGTGTTATTAAATTCAATTGTTAAATAATTTTTATTTACCAATTCTTTTAATAATTTTTTTAAAGACTTTTTATCAATAAAATACAATTTTATTACACACATTATAATTGTAATATGATCATAAATATTTGACAACTGTAAAAAAAAATTAAATGCTATTAATAAATTTTAAATAATTATATGTAATAAATTTTAAATATTTTTTTTAAGGCATACCGTGCACAAATGGATCAAAATATTAAACAGTAACTTAAGAATCGGCTTAAATGCCTTAAATTAGTTGCGGCATCATATGATACCAAATGCACGAAGAGGTTATTATTTTCAAAAGTAATATGTTTATTATGTATATGTAAGATCAAACCCATTTCATAAATACATTTTTCCTTACAAAATGGACAAGGAATTGACAAAAAGTAGAGGATTTACCGCAGGATTGCACCCCCGCACCCCCTAAACTTCTCCGCCCAAAAAATTCCAAAGTATTAATTTCCCTTGAAATTTGAAAGCGGCAAACTACTCAGCGAATCGTGCTCTATAGGATTCAGGTGTTAAATTCCAACATATCACAAAGTAAACGACCCTTGTATTCCGGCGGATTGTGGATGGTTATTTTTTAATAATTTTGCAAAGTTATGGTTTAGCACATGGTTACCGCATGATGTCAGGTATTCGGACTTGCTGCGGTAATCATCTCTTCATCGCTTCCCAGTTCAAATGTTATCCCTGAAAACGTATTCACAGGACAGCAGACTACCTACCCTTTCAAGGGACGTATTTTTTATAGCTGTAGGGGTTATGGTTATTTTTTAATAATTTTTCAAAGTTAGGTTAGGTTAGGTTAAGTTAGGTTAAACAATTTGTCCAATGACAATAAATGATTTATGCTAATGAATTGCAAAAAATTCATTATTTTTCTATTATTGTCATCAAGTATGCCATTAGTCAGATATTTAAATTTATTTATATATTTAAGAATCAGGTGTAATTTAGATAAATATTTTTTTTTTTTATATGCAGCTCTAAGAAGATGTTTTTCAGAAATTTGTAAACTGTAAATAGAAATATTAAGATTAGTTATTAGTTATTATTAGTTATATTAATAAGTTATGTTCATTATTTTACTTACTCATCAATAATTTGTTGTTTGTTATTGTATAAAATAGTGTTTAAAATGAAATAATCTAAAGATACAATGGTTGTAATAAAATTGATATTGTTTATATTAAATTCGGAAGGAGCTGGAATCTTTGCACTGAAAAAAATATTTTGTTAAGATAACCAAAATGTAGTAATAATAACTTTGAATTCCTGTTGGCTCAGGGACAGCAATATGAATAGTAATGCTTACAAACTCTTTCTTGTTAATGATGTAGTAACAACAGATTAGTTCTGTTATTAAAACTGAATGTGAACAGTACTGTCTACAGAAAGTATGTGTACTCAGTATGACATTTACAAAATTTTCAGTTACTATTACCATTGATTATAAATACTTATAATATTTATAATCAATGCTATTACTAAGTCATTTCCAAAAAACAGCAAAACCATATGCAGGTTTAACAGAACACTTAAGTAAAGCAGAAATATTTTTCGTTGGCTTTACATATTTATAATACAAATTATTTGGAGTGTACCAAAAAAAAACTCAATTGTTGAAATTGTATATCTGATAGTCATTGTTACAAAATGACTGTTGTTACAAAATTACTATTCAGTTAACACAACTAGGTTAAAAAAAATTAAAATAAAATTAGTTTTCAAATTGGTTAATTTATTTTATTAGCTTACATAAATTATAAATAAACATAAACATATATATTATATAAATAATTATATAGTAAGTACATTTCTAGGTTATTTTCTAATTATAATTATTTTATATTAAAATATAATAGAAAAATATTCAATACATATACATAATAATATTAAAAACATACAATACAAAATATTTA